AGTAAAGATCTGGCAAAGCCCACCAGTCAGCCTTTTATCCTATATAATAAAAAGCCATTATGCAAATTGTCCCCTCGGCTGGGAGTTCAATGGAGAGTTCAATCAGAGGGCAAGACTGGCTTGCCAACTGCCTGAAGCCCCTCTCCCTGGCCGGCCCCACCCCCAATCAGTCCCTCACCCCAATAGGGAGCAGTGCTGGCCAACCGCCCATGGCTCCTCCCCCCTGCCAGTCCGGCTCAATTGGCCCCAATCGGGTGGACTGGCCAGACCTTACCTGTACACAAATTCATGCACCGGGCCTCTAAAAGAGGAAGAAAGAGGTAGAGAGAATTTCAAGGAGGAAGGAAGAGGTAGAGAAAGAGAAACATCAGTGATGATTGATTGGCTGCCTCCTGCATGACCCCCTACTGGGGATCAAGCCCACAACCCAGACATGTGCCTTTGACCAGAATCGAACCTGGGTCCCCTCCATCCACTGATCCAAACTAAGCCAGGGTTCCCACCAGTCCGTCTTACTCTCATCATTGCCTCCTACTCTCCATTGATTATTCAATATAAGATCAAGAGAAAACAGAAATTTATGCAAAACAGGTTGGGAAAGGCAAATTATCCCAGTCCCTTTTATTTTTTTCCAAAGGAAATGATTGTTGATGCTCTGAGGAGTTAAAATATAATAACACATTCCAGGAAGATGATGTCAGGGGAGGCGTGGTTAAGCCCTTTACAAGTCTGAAATTCCTTTAGTCCCAAACATTTCCTCTTTCAATCTCACCTACCTTCAAATCTCTACTGAGGCAACTCTTTCCAACATTGAAGAAACAGTTCTGAGAGCCTAGAACTCAGATCTTTTTACTTCAGCCTTTTTTTTTTTTTTAATGAACTAAGATTAATTGAAGACTATTAAAACAGATTTATTTTTTTAAAATATATTTTATTGATTTTTTTACAGAGAGGAAGGAGAGAGATAGAGAGCTAGAAACGTCGACGAGAGAGAAACATCGACCAGTTGCCTCTTGCACACCCCTACCGGGGATGTGCCCGCAACCAAGGTACATGCCCTTGACCGGAATCGAACCTGGGACCTTTCAGTCCGCAGACCGATGCTCTACCACTGAGCCAAACCGGTTTCGGCTATTAAAACAGATTTAATGTACCACATTATTTTACAGAAAATCTCTTTGAAATCCACATTTCCCCCTTTCTGTGACTATTTTAACTCCCAAGAAAGGAATAGATATTCAGCACTGCATCCTGCCCTAGCCGGTTCGGCTCAGCAGAAAGAGCATCGGGCCTGGGGACAGAAGGGTCCCGGGTTCAGTTGCAGTCCAGGGTATGCACTGAGGCTGCAGGCTCGCAATCCCCAGCTCTGGCCGGGGTGTGTGCAAAGGCAACCAATCGATGTGTCTTTCCCATCAATGTTTCTCTCTCTGTCTTTCTCTCTCCCTTCCACTCTCTCTAAAAACCAGTGGGAAAATATCCTCAGGTAAGGATTCAAACAAACAAACAAACAAATAAAAATTCTACACTCTGAGGGGGGAATCTGCCTTTATTGGGAATTATACATGTGTTGTTTTGATTTTCATTCTCCTAATACTTAGCGGTGCTGAGCATCTTTTCATATGTCTGTTTGCCATCTGCATGTCTTGCTTGAAAAAATATCTAGTCAGATCCTCTGCCTGTTTTTTATTTGAATTATTATTTTTTTTACTGTTGAGTTGTATGAGTTTTTTGTTTTTAAATATGGAATGCTTCATGAATTTGCGTGTCATCTTGTGCGAGAGCTGTGCTGATCTCCTCTATGTCATTCCAATTTTAGTATTTGTGCTGCCGACGTGAGCAAGTTGTATGCTTTCTTTATATATTTTGGTATTAACCTCTAATTGGAAATATCATCTCCAAAAAAAGAAAAAAAAAATCTTCTCCCGTTTGGGTAGTTGCCTTTTTGTCTTGTTGATGGTTTCCTCCGCTGTGCAGAAGCTTTTTAGTTGGACGAAGACCTATTTCATTTGTTTCTGCTTTTGTTTCTTTTGCCTTTAGAGTCGGATTCAAAAAACACCGCTGAGGACCATCGTACAGAAGCCTAGCACTTAGGCTTTCTTCTACATATTTTATTGTTTCAGGTCTTACATCCAAGTCGTTAATCCATCTTGAGTTGATTTTTGTGTGAGGTATAAGATAGTGTTCTGGTTTTATTCTTTTGCACGTGGCTGTCCAGTTTTCCCAACACATTTAGTGTGTATTCTTGGTTCCTTTATCGTAAATTAATTGCCCATATATGTGTAGGTTTATTTCTGGGCTCTCAATCCCGTTCCATTGGTCTCTGGGTGTTTTTGTTTAAAGCAGATATTTTATAATTTGTACTTTTTCAGAAGTTTAGAGTTTGATTGTTCTTTCAATTTTTAAAACATTTTTGACATGCCCAAGAACTTTATTACCTCGACTTGTTCTACTTAAGAAACTGAATTCCTTAAAAAAAATATTTTTATTGATTTCAGAGAGGAGGGGAGAAGGAAAGGGAGATAGAAACATCAGTGGTGAGAGAGAACCATGGATCTGCTGCCTCCTGCACTCCCCACACTGGGGAAAGAGCCCGCAACAAGTCTTGTGTCCTGACCGGGAATGGAGCCGTGACCTCTTGGTTCATAGGTCAATGCTCAATTACTGAGCCATGCCAGCCAGGCAAGAAACTGAATTCTTAATAGAAATGGCAAATAAGCCAACATAAAATTATAACTTCACCTTGTCATAGAAAGCCTGGTAGGATACATATACCAAACTGCTGCCAGTTATTTTCCATGAGGGTGAGATTTGGGTAATAAACTTCAGGACATGAAGGGAAGTCTTGACTTTCAATTTTAAATACCTCTTTATGCTTAAGTTTTAAAAAATTGGCATGTCTTATATTTATTACTAAAAATTAGTGAGTTATTTTTAAAATTATACCTTAGATATAAAATGCACAAACTAGCCCTGGCTGGTGGGGTCAGTGGTTAAAGCATCAGTGTGCATACTGAAGGGTCAAGGGTTTGAGGATTCAATTCCCTGGTCAAGGGCACCCCCTCCCTCAGACTGTGGGGGAGGCATCCAGTCGATGTGTCTCTGTGTCTCTCTCACATCGATGTTCCCCCCCCCCCACCCTTCCACTCTCTCTGAAAAGCAATGGAAAAAATATCCTCATGTGAGGATTAACATACAGACAAAAAATGCACAAATTACATGAGCAAATTCATCCAGAACACTCTCCCCAAAAGAGAAGTGAACACATTAAACCTTATATTTCATCACAAAAACAAAGAACAATGTAGTAATGCTTTGGTCTAAATATATCAAATAGCCACAAACCTACACATACACACAAGCAATCATATACATAGTCACGAAGTGATATCATCATAACATTGACGTGTAAGAACCCGAAGCTTTTTGTTTTGTTTTGTTTTGTTTTGTTTTTCCGAAGAATTCTTAACAAATATATTTGTATGTATTTATCCCCCCCCCCAATGTTTCCTGAACTGCTTCTCAAACCTTACAAGTTATCAAGAAGAGATATAAGATTTAAATACAAACCCATAAGCATACTCTTTGTCCCCTACACTATCCTAGATTTAGAAGATGGTTAATTTTTTTTATATACTACAAGTAGAGGAGGGAGTAGACAGCTAAGAGATTTAGATAGCATCAAGAAACCCCTCAGAGGGGGGAAAAAACACTAATTCCTGTAATTCACTTTACTTCATTTTAATGAATCTGGTTAACTGGAGAGACTTGGAGGGGAAAATTAGGAAGGAAATTTTCATCTCGTTCTATATAAGATTTGAGAAGACTAAAGACAGATGAACTATCCCCCTATCAAAATCATATACAAGGTATGTGCGTGTGTTATAAATATGTGTGCATGTAAATAACCAAAACAGACCCATATTTTTTCAAGGATATAAACAGAATAAACACCATATAAACTAACACCCATAAACTGACGCTAAATGTCTTGGGTTTAACATTCCGCCCACTGCCTGGATCACACCCTGTGTGAATCCACCTGTCATGTCTCTCTGGGTCCCTGAGGAAGCAGCAGCAATCCTTCCCCACTTCCAACACTCCGCAGATGATCAAAAGCTCCCTGAATGTCTACAGAATCATCTTCAAAGAACAGCTACAGCACTGAGAGAGGGTACAGGGTCTTTCTCTTACAGCGTGAAGTTCCCCCTAATCAGCATTGTATGCCCTGAAATGTCAAACAAAACAAAACAACAACAACAACAACAACAACAACAAACTTGCCAAGGATATTCCTTGGCAAATGTGGGCATGATGTCCAACTCTCTCCGGAGGGCCTGTGGGCTCCAGCAAAGATAACGTTGTGGTGGCCTCTGGTTAATCCCAAAGGGTTCCTGCTGAGCCTGGCTATCTCCAGATCTCAAAGCACCAGCACACCCCCAAGAATCACAGACCTTTCTGCCTTCACCCTGAAGTGTGTCTTCTCTGAAGGCCCCTTCCCTTCAGGCAGGGCGGGCAAGGTCTCGTCCAGAAAAGTACATCCAGTGCTTGATGAAACTGTTGTGATCTCACCAACTATATTTCTGCTACTTGATAGTGCTAGTCGAATGGAAGGTGGGGTGGGGAGAATAGAAACAGTTAATCGAGAAGAAAATAGTATTGGAGGGGGGTGGGCCAGGGGCCAGGGTCTGAGATGACATAGGATCCCTGTGGAGATTAGGTCTATCAGCAAGAAGTCAAACTAACTTCATTTCTCAAAGATAAAAACTTGCTTTTAATTCCCCTGCCTCCTCAGGCCTCACAAAGACTGCAAATTCCTGGAACTTCAGAGCCAGGTGAGAAAAGATGCCAGAAAGGGGCAGAAAAGAGAGGGGCTGAGAGGGGAGAAGGAATCCTTTTCCTGACTTTAGGAGAATGTGGAAGCCAAGAGCACTCCCGGATCCCCAGAAAAGGAAGTAGCTGGATTAAAAAAAAAAAAAAAAAAAAAAAAGCACTTTCCTTACCTTTTTGTTGTTCTTGTTATAGCCAAAAGTCGGAATCCCAGGTCTGGAAGCCACTGATAGCAGCATTTTCTCTTTAATATTAGGGAGCTAAGAGAGGAGAGGGGCAGGGAGGGAAGAGAGAGGGAGAGAGGGAGCAGCAGAGAGAGAGAGAGAGAGAGAGAGAGAGAGAGAGAGAGAGAGAGAGAGAGAGAGAGAGAGAGAAGGAAAGGAGAGAAAGGGAGAGGGGGAGAGGGAGAGGGCGAGGGAGGAAGAGAGGGAGGGAGGGAAGGAGGGAAGGGAGGGAGGGAGAGAGTAGAGTGAGGGGGAGGAGAAAGGGAGAGAAAAGGAGCAAGAGGGAGAAAAATGAGGGGGTGGGGGTAAAGAATGAGCTTGGGCTGCCTGTTGGCGTCACTGGGAGAAGTTAACCCAGAGTCTGAACGAGGCACTACCACTGGGTCCTAATGCCCAAGATGTTATTTTTTGATTTTTCACAGGCTTAGCAGTTCAAGCGAAAAGAAAAGTTCTTAGGTCTGCCCTTTCCATTCCACCCCCTTTCCTCCATGAACAAGTTCTGACTTTTATGAAAAGACCATGAGGATTATTTCCCCTTAGATACCAGCTACAAGACCCCCGGCTTGTCCACGGGGACCCTACCTCGGAGAACGTGTGAAGAAAACCATACTAAGAACACGTGAGGCAAGCTCAGGACCCCTTCCCCCCCTCCACACACACCCTTTATATTTACAGTGACCTGAGCACATGAAGAGAAAACAGACAGGAGGCTCACCAAAGGACAGGGGAAAGCAAAACGGAGATGGGAAATGACTAGCTCCCTGTCCTTGGGCAGTTCTGTTCCTCATGCTTGTGGGCGGACGCCTCTCACTGCCTTTCAGATTCCTGCAGGTATGACTTCATACCTGGGGAGGAATAGCCAGACCGGACTGTGTCATAAAACTCAGCACCTCGTGTCTCTCCTTCCCCCGGGCTTTCTGGGAAACAATGCCGCATGCCTTCTTATCTGACTGTTTATCTCACTGTTTCCTAGTCTCCACCGCCCATGAAGCTGAGACAACCAGAGGGACCCACCACACCTGGAACTGATGCCCACACTGAAGTTCACAGAGATGTTTGCTTCAGGTTGTCTCTGAGCGGTAGAAAACAAACAAACAAACAAAAAAAAAAAACCCACAAAAAACACTATTTAAAAAGCAGATGCTTCACCAAGAATAAAAATATTAAGTTCTTAGAAAGCAAGAACACACATTTGGAGTCAACAACCTCACACAGCGGCAGCGACACTCACCTCTGAGTATCCAGGGAAGGCCCTGCAGACTGTCCTCCACAGGAGAAGACACTTGTGGAAAGCCAGAGAGGCCAGAATGCTGCCCAGGAGCTCCCGCCAGCCCAGGTGGCACAGGGATGTGGCACAAAAGCCTTCACATCCCTTCTCCAGGCCAAGGTGCTGCCATCACGGAATTCTCCTCAGACACACGCTAACCCTGCTTTGCCACAACTACCATTCAGCCCAGACCCTCCCTGGAATGAAGTTCCAGTCTCGATTTTCCTGTCCCTTTTTTTTTTTTGCTGTGATAACAGGACGGACAGTACGAACATTCTGCAGGGTAAACACACACATAGCATCCCCCAATCTCTCACTTTCATTTCCAAGAGGACAGGAAGTGCCGCTCCGCTCAGGGGACACAGGAAGGGTGGGGCGGCCTCCATGTGGGAAACGCAGCAGAGACTGGGAGCAGCAGCCACTGTGGCCACTGAGCTCAGAGGCCTCGCTCAGGAATACCTTTTTTTAAAGCCCCTTTCTACCCTCCGAGATTCTCGTTCCTTATATAACCAAGTTATCCTGGCTATCGAGGCCCTTCGTTAATGTGTTCTTCTGTAGCCTAAGATATAGTACAAAAACCTTAACCTTTAGGGCCTGATTTATAATGGGATTTATAATGGCAGTCAACCTAACATGATTTAAAAAAAAAAATTCTAATAGTCAATGCATCGTGTTCTCTTGTTGCATTCTTTAATGCTTAATGGTATCTTAGAACTGAAAATAGTTAAAACCATGAGCTTTAGAGAGAAGTAGGCATGAGTTCAAATCCTGACACCCCTGTTTACTCACCATTCATGTGACTTCACGCCAAGTGGTTAACATCTCTAATTTACTCATTAGCAAAAGGGAGGTCATGCCCACATTAGTAGTGCTTGGAATAAAATCTAAGTTCTGGTTTAGTCCTGTCACTACAAGCCAAGTGACGCTGGGAGAATTATTTCACGTGTCTGAACCTTGAGTTTTTTTGTTTTGTTTTGTTTTGTTTGTGTGTGTGTGTGTGTGTGTGTTTAATCTGGAAAACAAAGTAAATAAATAGTATCTAATTCCTAAAATTGCCATGAAATGAAGTAAGGCAATACATATAAAGGTGCCTGGTTCTCCTGGCTGGTTTGGCTCAGTGGACAGAGCATTGGCCCATGGACTGAAGGGTCCCAGGTTCCATTCTGGTCAGGGGCACATACCTACCTGGGTTGCAGGCTCCATCCCTGGTCCAACAGGGGGCTGTGTGCAGGATGCAGCCAATCAATCAATCTCTCTCTCTCTCTCTCCCTCTCTCTCTTCCCCTCCCTTCCATTCTCTAAAAATCAATGGAAAAAACATTCTGGGGTGAGGATTAACAAAAGATTAAATGAACAAACAAACAAACAAATGTGCCTGGCACTTGATAAACACTCAATAGTTGTTAGCTCCATTATGATTAATTCCTCTACTGTCCCCAGCGTGTACCCTCTGGGTATTGTATAACCCAGAATTGGTGATCTGAAGTGAACATTTCCAAAAACTGGTATCTTAGTTACATTCAAAAGGTTATACAAGTCAGAGGGGATGGGTCTTGGGGAGCTGAGTGGAAAAGGTGAAGGGATTAGGCCAAGAAAGAAAAAACTCATAGACACCACAGCGTGTGGTGATTACCAGAGTGGGGGGGTGTTGAGCTGGTAAAGAGGGATGGATGGTGATGGAAGGAGACTTGAACTGGTGTGGTAACTACACAATATAACATACAGATGATGTGTTATATAATCATACACCTGAAACCTATATAATTTGATTAACCAATTAGAGGCCTGGTGCATGAAAACTCATGCCCAGAAGGGTGGGGGTCCCCTCAGCCTGGCCTGCCCCCTCTCACAGTCCAGGAGCCCTCAGGGGTGGGAGGCGACCTGGCGATCTGGGGAAGGCAATGCCCCATCACACCTCTGCTGCTGCCACTGCCAGCAGCACAAGCCTCGGCTGGCACTGGTTACCTGAGCCTCAGGAGGATCTGGGGGGCTGAGGGGACTGGTGGACTCCAGAGGCATGTGTGCTGCAAGGCCCGGCCTTGCCTTGCACCTGTCGCCCCGGTGGGCTGAGGGAACTGGACACCACAATCTTGTGGCTGTGGTCACTGCCATCTTTGCAATGGTGTGAGGGTCAACTAACATATTCCCCCTTTATTAGATAGGATGACACCCTAATAAATTTAATAAAAAAAATTTTTAGGAATGGTTTATTGATTTTTAGAGAGAGAGGAAGGGAGAGGAAAAGAGAGAAGCATTGATATGAGAGCTTAACATCAATCAGCTGTATCCTGCATGCCCCGTACTGGGAATCAAGTTCGAAACCCAAGCATATGCCCTTGATTGGGATTTGAACCAACAACCTGTTGGTGCACAGGACAAAGTCCAACAATTTTCTAAAAAGACCCTGGCCAGTGTTGCTCAGTTGGCTGGAGTGTAGCCCCAAACACCAAAAGGTGTATTATAAAATCCTACACCTGAAACCTGGCTCAATTCCAGGTCAGGGTACATTAGGGAGACAAATCGTTAATGTTTCTCTCTCACATCATATCTCTCTCTCTCTCTTCCTCTCTCCCTCCCTCCCTGCTTTCTTCTCTCCCTCCCCCCCTCCTTTTTCTCTTTGAAATCAATAAAAAGCGTATCCTTGGGTGAGGATTAAAAAATTTTTTTAAAAAGATTATATTAGTGCTCACTTCGGCAGCATATATACTAAAATTGGACCAATACAGAGAAGGTTAGCATGGTCCCTACGCAAGAATGACACACAAATTTGTGAAGCCTTCCATATTGTTTTTCCTCAAAAAACTAAAAATGGAACTTCCATTTGACCCAGTAATCTCACTTCTAGGAATATATCCCAAGAAAACAGAAACACCAATCAGAAAGGATATATGCACCCCTATGTTCATAGCAGCACATTTATAATAGCTAAGATTTGGAAACAGCTTAAGTGCCCACCAGCAGATGAATGGATTAGAAAACTATGGTATATCTATACAATGGAATACTATGCTGCTATAAAAAAGAAGGAATTCTTACCAATTGCAACAGCATGGATGGACCTGGAGAGCAGTATGCCAGAGAAAGATAAATATCCCATGATCTCACTCATTTGTGGAATATAATGAACAACATAAACTAATGAACAAATTGGAGACATAGAAGCATCAAGCAGAGTGTCCAACCTATGAGGGAAGGTGGCGGGGGTGGGGGGGCGGTGAGGGGGGTAAGAGATCAACCAAAGGACCTGTATGCGTGCGTGTGAGCATAACCGATGGACACAGACAGTAGTGGGGTGAGGGAGCAGGGTGGGAGTGGCCGGGGAGAGGTCAAGGGGCTGGGGGGGGGGACACACTCATGTAATACTTTAAACAATAAATAATTTAAATTAAAAAAGTATATGAGAACTAGGCAGGCTAAACTTTATAACTGGAAATACCAAATAAGTTTCAGGAACCATCCAATGCAATTTATTTTCATTCTCTGCCTTCCAAACAAACTGATTATTCAGAAATTCACTTCATAATTTTTACTCTCATGGAAATCGATGAACCATCTCTTTCTCTAGAAAAAAAGAAAACACAATAATACAGAACACCAAAGCATACTAGATACAAGACACCTTAGCTCCCATTTTTTCTAGCGTCCTATTATTCCAAGAAATAGAAATGCATGTGGGAAAATTGTGAGATTCTCATGCCTCCTAAGATTTAACACCATTTCTCTGCTCTAAAAGCAGACAGTATCACATA